ACAGGGGAGGCTGAGGCCTGCGACTGGTTGTTTTCGACCACACATGACCCGACGCATGGGAGGATGCCCTCAACATCCTGAAGAATCCAGTCTCAGTGGCGAAGGACAGGTGAATGGCTGGTGAGGAACCTTTTCGGAGCTAGATGTTTCTTGAAGGCGTTGGCACAACAGGAGATTGCACGGAGTGTGAGGTGGCTGTAATTCGTAAGAGCAGGGATGAAGGAATCACAGATTGCAGAAACACTCCACCTGCAACATTTCAGTGCACAGGTTCCGGGTTGTGTGAAGGTTCCGTAAGTGTTGCGCAAAGAGGCAAAATGACACCACAAGATTCTCTTGCAAACGCATCGAGACCGCAAGACTCTTATGTCCTCCTGTTGAACAGCTCCGTCTTGTAGGTTTAGTTTTTCTTGGACAGTCTCAAGGTCTGTCAAGAAACCTTGCGAACTGGTTCGAGAGTTTTCCTCTTTTAAGCTTACCACTTCAGAAGTCCTTTTTTGCTTTTTGACATCCAGCAACCCAGAAGGGACTCCAGTGACCACCCATGAAAGGAGGAACAGAAAGCTTCGGTGCAGGTCGAGCGAGAGAATCGCCCTAGTGCCTTGACCAGTCCTTCTTTGATGGACTAGGACATCCAGTCCTTTTCCCACCTTGCCAGCAGTTCTGTGGAGTTGAATCAAATCAAATCAAATCAAAAGAGAGTCATTTTACCTACCAGATGACATATGGAAACGGAATCCAATATCTCCCCAAAATACTCAGCCTCTCCAGTGTTTTACCTCCTGAACGCCCCCGAGGTGTACCACCTGTTGTGGAGCCCTCCAAAGCAGCTGAGCCGCTTGAAACCGACTCTCGTTCGGGGCACCTGGTGACCCTGGGTGACATGGGGTGACGACCGACGAGGTCGAAAAGACTCACGAGAACGATGGAAACATCGCGGGTTTGGCCCGGCACCACAAACCGCCACATGCCGGAGGTATGAAACGGCTGTCAGATTGGAGAGAAGTAGGAGATCATGGTGTAGAGGAGTAGTCCCTTTTAAAAGGGGGTGTAGGCCGCTAGTAGAGGTGAGGTAGGTCAGCCAGTTAGGTAGCTAGTAGAAGAAGTAGCTAGTAGCTTAAGAAACTACTAGCATGGACGCAGGATAGCTCGCGCTTCTTCAAGGAGGCTCCCCCCACCGCCCTAAAGGCGGCGGGGGGAGCTTCCTTGAAGAAGCACTCAGCACTAATGATTTGTTCCTAGATTTTTTGGGAAACTTAACTTGTTTCTCTCGCTCATTCTTCTCGCAGCTCATTTTTTTGTTTGTAGTGATACAATGCACTGCAAACTGAGGTGAACCAAGCAGCGGCTTGGCAAAGGGCCATGTGACTTTTGTGTTAGATATGGCATGATATGGTCTAAAACGCATATACTCATACAGGCCCTAGGGAGAACCCAAGTGAACAGCAACATGTTCCCCTGCTACTAAAAACTTCCCTGTTATACCGATAATACACCATGTACCTGAGCCTATTGCATGTGGTGGAGTCACCCCCCAGAATTGCCCGCGTTGAAGAGGAGTAACAAGGCAAGCACAAAAGCGTACACTGTCTATTGCGTTGTTGTAGGGAAGCTCAAACACATTTGACCTCCTTCCATCCCTCTCAACCACAGTCCGCATGCCTTTCTTTACACCAAAAAAAAATCCGAGTATCCTCACTCGGCAGCCACGTTCTTTTTCTGGGCAGCCAGGTCCCAAGTCTTTCCTCGAACGGTCGCGGCAAGTAGCCGCTGGGCAGTTCGTTAAGGGACGGCTGGACGGCGCGGCGAGTTGCGTGAAAGACCACTACTTGCAGTGTGAAGGTGTTTTGAGGCAGACGTTGACAGAGTGATGGGATCTACAAGGGACGAGTCAGACGAGCTAAAGCCTTTCAAAACTTGGACCTCCTGATCCTTTTTGACCATGTGTGCCTCGCAACATTCTCAGGCGGACACTTCCTCCGGAGTGTCGGCCGCCGCAGTGGCCGCAGCAGCTGCGGTTGCGAAGGTGGGGTCCGCGCCAGCCACCAGAAGCTCTTTGACCAGGCCTTTAAGTCTAATAATCCCGGAATCCCAAGGTCTTTTGACAAGGCACCCCAAAGAAGGGGCTTGATTCCCCCATGGTTCATGTTTGAGGTCTCCCCAAGAGGAAAGCCGTGGGCACCTGACTTGATAGCCTCTGCGCTGTGACGTGAGGTTTCCAAGATGATATTCCTTGAGCGGGTTTGTGGGTGTTTGTTTTAGGGTGGTCAAAGGCTTCTTAAGAGTTCAAGAGCGTTTGATGCCTCAGGGTTTTCGGTTTGGTTCTTGTTATGGACTTTTTCTGTTTAGCATAGGTCAGCCCAGCAAATCGACATTGACTTGCAAAGATCTGGCGGTCTCTCCCCTATTTTCCAATCAAATTGCCGGCAGCGCTAGTGAGCTAGTGTGAAGCATCAACTCTCAAGGGGTGTGAATACTGAAATTGCCGGCAGCGCTAGTGAGCTAGTGTGAAGCATCAACTCTCAAAGGGTGTGAATACTGAATAGCTATCATGTTCTCGGACTCATCCGAGGGGCACATCTGAACATCCAAACTCGAGAACCTCGGAACCGAGACGTGCCATGTCTTCCACGCGCAGGGTGCCAAAGCCGGGCCCAGACCAGGTGGGGCCAGACGGTGGGCCGGGTGGGTGCGAAGGTCACCGGTGGGTCAACACCGGGCAGGTGGGCCTCCATCGATTTTCAAGAGATGCAGAGATGAGGGGTTTCCCAAAATCCCTTTCAAAGAGAATGTTTCTCTTCAAGCTGTACGCAAAATGCCTGGACCACAAGGCAAGTCGAAGGTGTTTGATTCGTTTTGTCTTGGTTTTCGGATTGCTCCCAGTGCTTCATCTTCCCAAATGTGAGGTGATGATAGTGACGTCTCAACAGCGCTGGAGGCGGGAAGACAAACGCAAAGAGGTCAGCATATCGGCGTATCGGCGCAGCTTAGAAAAAACCCGCCATGCCACCACGCTGCATATTTTTACCATGTATATATACAATATATATACTATTATTTTCGAGACACTCAAAGGTAGCACGTGCTTTTTGGTGAGTCGTCAACCACCCTGGTTTGGGGTGGTATGTAGGCACTCATTACAATCTTACCCCACTTGCAAGCATGCTTCCCAAATATATTGCCTTGAACGAGGCTCACAAACTCGAGATAAGGGTACGTACGGTCTGAATGCTACTAATCCAAACAGATCCAAACGGCTGAAAAAGGGACAGGTCAAGGTATCATATGCAACGAGGGTCCAACTGCTTCTACCAAAATACGCCTGCAAAATACTTTGGGTCATTCTAGGTGAACTGCCACGGTGCTTCAACGGTGCTATGGTGCGCAGGATGACGAGGCCTTCGTGCGATCCATCGAGCAATGCCTCAAGGAGACCAGTGGAGCCCCGCTGGAGCGTCGTTGGAACACCGGCTTTGGCTTTTTGCGACGGAGCGTGCGGTCTGGAGGAGCTCTTCGTGGTCGGACGTGGAGGAACACAGGAAATGGATGGAGAAGCACCCTACGCAAGTGTGAACAGCATGCAAATATTAAGGGTCGGAAGTTTGGAAGCTTCCAAGCTTCAACTGGGTGAACCTGGCTTTCAATCCATCCAGCACTTCCAGCACGGTGTTCGCTGCTTGTGCTGGTGGACAGCGACCCGTTTCTTCCCATCTTTCACCCGTGTCGAACAGCGACTCCTTTTGAAGACCATTGGTCCATATTAGTCCCTTGGAACTTTGTTCTGGCGCCACAGTCGCGTGGGACTATATAGCTCCACTTGTGTTGTAAATTTTCTATCTCATGCCGACCACGGGTTAGATTGGTTGCAGCTGCTTTTGTTTTGATAGGCTACGCGTCCTGCACTGTCTCTCTGCCTTTTGGTCTAGGATTCCCGCTTGTATGAAGAAAGATATTTCGTCCACCATGCCATATTTCTTTAGTTCCACTATGAGTTCGTAGGTGAATCAAGTCAAAATGCCGCAAGGTGAGGAGGCGCGAGAAGATGTTCTTTCGCAAGTCCAATTCCTCGTTTTGGTGTTGACGCAGACTTGGTGGCACGCGTCCAGTTCGACCAAACGGTCCTTTTGGGGATTTGCTGCCGATCCTTGCTAGGAGTGCGACGTCATGTGGGACGACTACTGAAGTGGTTGAACCACAAAGGACCAACTCAAGACCGATGGCCTCCAGCGATGGCGCCAGCGTTCGCCTGCTTTGGAGTATGAAGTTTGGAAGAAAGGCATGTGAAGAATCAGGACTCGATTGAGGACTCTTGGGGTCACCAGTTCTTCATGAGGACTGTGTCGGTTTCATACTGAAAAGACCCTAAGTACTTTCCCAAAGGTTTTCTCCTGAAGAATCGAAGTCTGTGACATCGACCTGCATCTATCTGTCCTTTTGTGCCATGTTTTATTCGTTTCTCACATGGAGCATCTACAGTGAGCTTCCATCATGAGCATTTTTACGTGGGATCCTCCTGAGCGCAGGAGTGACTCCGCGCCACCTCACCGACGTTGACCGAAAAAAGAGTCCGCTTGCTGGTGCAGCTTGGTGTAGCTAGGGTAGATGAAGTGGGCATGAGGTTCAGCTGAAGCGATCTGGCAGAAGGGATGCTGGTTTTGCCAAGAAAGGATTAGTATTTAGTCGCTTTCAAAAGATCTTATGGCTTCCTGCTGGTCATGGCTGTTTGCTCTCAAGGCTTTGCTTCGCTACATGAATAATGAAAATGCGGGTGCATCTTCCAAACCACTCCTCAGCAAACGCAGAAGTGAAGTGACAGGCATGGACCACTACCACTCAAAGCTGGAAAACCATGATGCAAGGATCACCATGTCTTCAGCCAATCAGAAAGATGTATGGGACACATTTTCAGCAGGCTTTGGGTTTGATCTGCATGACGTTACCTTTGCCATATGCCGACCCCCCAATCCACTTCTGAAGACCATGAAGACCTCTTACTGAAGCTCTCACCTTCCGGCCCCCTCTTTGGCGCAAGGCGGCCCGGCCCAGATGTTCGCCCAATGGCCTTGGCGCCGGGAACGCCTCCGGTGGCGCCTCCGGTGCCTCGGGTGCCGCCGGCGCTCGCCTGCGAGGACTGGCCGCGCTGGCGGCGCTTCCGGCAGCGCTTCGCGCGCTGGGCGCGGCCGAGCCGTCGCGGCGAGCGGCCGTTGGGGCGGCCCGGTGGACGCCTGGTGGCGGAGGCGAAGGACTTGGTGAGGAATGCAAGTGAAGGGGAGTTTACGAGGCCGGGGCAAGTGGATGCGGCCGACTTGTGGAGTCAAGGAGCGTCATGTGGCCGTGGTAGGAGTGTCATTCCCAGGTAGTCTATTCTGTTCAATGTCCGTCAACCAGGGTTGGCTGGTTTTGGCCCACAGCCATGGATGTTGAACGAGGTTGAGGATAAGCATCTATTTCGACAACGTTCCACTTGCATTCCACAAAGCCCGCTTGGACCCGCACGTTGCGGTCCTGTCACGTCGGCCTTCAGGTCCTGGCTGAAGCTGCTGAGGCACCTGAGCGGGTCCTCTGAAATGCCTGAAGACACCTGTGCCCTGGCAGAAAACAGTGCATAGAAGAAACTCCTTTGTTCATGGAAGGGAATCAAAAGTGGGAATCGATTCCCCATGGTACTTTTTCTGCATCAAAAGCTTTACAGCATGTCGGAGCACGGACAGATCTTCCGGAGTCGACATGACGGGCGATCCACCAGACTGCTCAGCTACCAAGTAAGGACGATAGCCGTGCAAACGACCAGACTCCAAGGACTGTCACAAACGGATGTTGGGAAATTCAGTCAAAGCCAATCTAGTCACCTAGTCAACAACATTCTTTTTGATGTTTCTTGCACATCGATAAAACGAACAAGCAAATCATTAATACAACGAACGAACATCCCCTTTGTCCAAGCCGTGCAGCGGCCGTGCCTCGGTGCTCGGGAGCGAGTGAGCGAGTCTTCCGTCGTCAACGGCGAGGTCCGGAACGACGCGTCGCCAACGCCCAGGCCTCTTCGGGGAGGTGGCCGCGCAGCAGGTGCTGCTGCTGAGCACGGAAGCTTTGCTGTGGCAGGCGCAGGTGGCCTTGCAGACAAAAGACCTCAGGCCATGCAGACGGGAGCGGCGTCCCGTGTGTCGAGCCATTCGTGTGGAAGGGGTCCGTCGGTCCGTCGGTCCGTCGACGGGTGCGTGGGAGTTTGGGGGGGGATCGTGGTGACGAAGGGTACTTTTCCGCTGGTTGCAGAGGGTCTCCAGCGAAGATTGGGGGTGATGGGAGGGAAAACTTGACGTAGAATTTGGGCGTGGCTCTGGTTATATATTGGACCTTCCTGACCAGTGGCTTCTGACTGACACTCTGACCACGCGCAGCTAGTCGCGACACCTTTCCGAGATCGAGAATCCGAAAGAAGCTGAATACTGCCTGACTCAATCATACACTCAGGAACCGATCGAATCAACCAACCAACTGACAAGCAGACCAACTAGCCAACTGAGAGTTAGTGAGTTTGTTGGTTGTTCTCACTCTCTCAGATATGTTTGTCGGATTCAGCTGACAATGGCACTCAAAAGATTTCCTCAAGGGCAAGCAGTCCTGGCCAAATCATCGCGGTGTGGACCAAATGTGTGCACCGTGAGGCGAGGTGGTCATGAAACCGAGTGCCATTGCTTTCCAGCCGATTTGAAGCCGCTCAAGAGTGGATTCATAGGGTGACCTTCACAAACCTCATCGCCGCACTTGACCATGTCCAAACATGCCTTGTGTGGGGCGCTGACACCTGGCATAGCCTGGCACCGGTGCTGGGTGATGGGTGTTCTCGAACCTCAGGCCGCGGAGCATGTCAATGTCTGCTCTTTTTCTGCCAGGTATGTGATGCACGACAGTGGGTGGCCGGTCTTCTCGCCCTTGGATTTGAGCTTGGAGGTGAGGGCAGGGGACCTGGGAATGACATTCTGGAGCAGTCTTGCTTGGTCTTTGGACCAATTCCATACTCTGTCTGCCATCTGGGGCCACCTCTACGGTGGATGCTTGGATGATCGATGCCAACACCGAAGATTCACAAATCTGGATTCTCCGCACCGGCCCCGTGGTGCCCACCGTCAGGAGCCGCGCCCCGTGGTGCCCCGCCACCCTTCGGCCTTCGGCACCTTCGGCAGGGACCTCGGGCGTCCACCACTTCCGGGTGGCGTGGCACCGAGTTCGGTGCAGATTGTGTTGGTGGGAAGCCACAGCAGCCAGTTGCGGCAGACCGGGCAGATGATCCAGGAGCAGTCCGTTGGTCGATCCGGAAAAGAGAACGGGCGGCCCGTGCCGGTGGGGTGTTGGGAACTGGACCAACGGAGCACAAAATAGGGGGGCTTGAGCCAACAGTCGCTGGGAACACTGAGTTGGATGCTCTCCATGTCGGACTGGCAGGAGATCGCTGACTCAAGAGCTTTGCAGGTCCATTTGAACTACGCTGGGTGTGTCTATGTCGCTCGGTGATGAGCGTAGGACAACCCTGTGGAACTCGGGGCATTCGCAGTGCAAATCTCCGGGTGTTCGCCGGCATGAGCTGGCTGGCTTTCTCCTGCTTGGGTTCGCTTTAGCTGCAACGGTTTCGCATGCTTATTCTTGATGTAGATGGGTTGTAAGTAGATCATAAGCCACCACGGCAACCAGCTGATGCGGGGCCCACGGCGGGGTGTTGCTCTTCCCACTGCCTTTGGCAAGGATTCCCATCCAGGTTGCTGTTGAGAGTATTTTCACAAGGTCAGCAAGGTTGTCAAACATCATATGAGGAACATGTGCTTCAGATCTCCACCTAGCGTGGTGGCTTTGAAACTGGAAACCATCGTCAGACCCGATGAGGTTCCCTATGCCTGTGTGAAGTTGGGCAGTGACATGTCCTCGCTCCTCTACCACAGCCTGGCGCGTGGGGACGCGGACCCTACGGCGATCCGGGAGGGCTTGGAGGCAGCGAAGATCGGCAGCTATGGCCTAGTGGCTTGGGAAAAAGGTGCCTTTGAAGCCCCACCCAAAAGCATCTACGGAAAGGTACCGGTTCTCATCGTCTTCATGGTCTGGGCCGGAGGTGAGCCATGTCGGGACGCTGACGGTTGAGGATGTTTGCCTCAAGAGTTGACAGGTTGCAAAAATGCCAAGACTACGGCCTGGTCACGGGTGCTAGGTGGGCTGCAGGGTTTTCAAGATAAAGGTCCGGAGATGGTGAAAGACTGGCACAATGCTTTGTACTTTCAGTAATTTTAGTGCTCAATGCCCAATGCTCTTGTTCCTTTTCGGGCTTCGGACTGCTCTCCCGCATGTTCCGACCGGCAACCCGATGCATTTTCACCGTGGAGCAATTGGTTTGACCTGCTGGTCAGCATCAGGACCTCAGAGTGACAGCCTCGTTTCAGAACACCCCGAAAGCTCTCAATGAATCTATAGTTGTCACTCAAGAGAAAGAAGCTTTGCTTTTGGATGTATGGAGTCAGCGGAGAAGCTTTAGACACTTTCTATGCCGGACCACTGATGTACTTGAGGCAGTTGTGCTGGACATGGGCCTAAGCTCTCTCTTGCGAAGCATCTCTCAAGCGGCTTGGCGATGGAATTAATAGGCAAGACAGCGGCGGCCGATGCTTTTTGCCACCTTGGCAGCCAGTGGACTGTACATCGGTGTGTTGAACATGTATGTCATAGACTTAAAGGAGCTGAGCCACAAAGTTTGTGGATTCAGGATGCATCTGTGCAATCTACCTGCAGCTCTTGGTAGAGCATCTTGGTAGGGCTCAACATGACTTAATCAGTCCTATCAGTGCTTCGCATCTCTAAATTTGGTTGATGCTCCACACAAACTTATTGATGAAGTCTTTCCTCAACACTATGGATGACTGCTACTGCTAGGGCGGATTGTTTTTTGATTGTGGCAGATAATTGTTCAATAGCAACATACCTTGCTAAATGCTGCGTTGTTTGCTCGGTCTTTCATGCCAGCTCTCTATGCGTACCACACCTTCCAATGAGCCTTTTCCTTTTTCTTGCCTCCGGTAGCTGTTTCCTTTCGGATCCTTATGAAGTGTAAGATCTTTGTTCCACCAGAATGAGAACGACCTCAGATGGACATCTTGTCCAGCAGAAGCCACCCGTTCAGAGGCCAGAGGCCACGGCCCCTGAGGTGCCGATCCTGCACGTCATCGGGATCTACCCCTTGACGCTGAATGATGAGCTGGGACGAGCGATCCCCGAGGCACGAGCGATCCCGCCGATCCGAAGAAGGGGGTCGAGGTCTCGTCAGGTTCAGATCAGGTGAGGTCTGAGGTGTCTCAAAGATCAATGGAGATCCGGTCAAAGATCAGGTGGGTCGTATTTTTTCGTGGGGCTTCTTTGCAAGATTTGCCACACAGGCCACCATTTTTCAACGATTCGAGATGGTGGAATCGTCCCAAAAAGGAATGGTCAACACATGTCAACACTCTGGCTGATTCCCTCTGATCACTTCTTCCAACCTTTGACATTCTTTGATGGAAAAGGAGGCGCCGCACGGCGTGCCATGTGGGCCCCTCTGGAATCTTCGCAGGAGCTCCGGCAAAGCCTGGAGGATTCCAGCATCTACTCCTTGGCCACCTCCACGGTCTGCGCGCTGCAGCTCTGGTGGATCTCCGGACGGCGGCTCCCGGTGCCCCGGAGAAGCCGCACCGTTCGAAGGTGGGAAGGAGAAGTCGCACGGTGATGACTTGGAAAAGGGATGAAACGTGTCATTCCTCTTCTTTCTTCGAGTTTTGATAGAGACATTCGGAAATCAACCACGATCACGCGATCAACAACACAGCACCGATGCTGACCAGGGGTAAGTTCATTTGTGATGCGTTGGGTAGTTTCCCATGATTATCATACTTTCAAATTGACAGGTTCGACGTCGCTTGTCCAATTCGCGAAGTAGGTCCCCCAAGGGATACGGCCAGGCCTGGTCTTTGATAGCATCCCATTGATCCTCTGAGGAAAGCTTAGTTTTCAAAGATCTGGCATTTCTGTGTGGTTTGATCTTGAGGTATGTCTATTTTCCTTTTGACTTCTTGGCAGGATACTTGTGGGTTGTCCCATCCATTCATGTTTCCTGAAGGGTATTTGAAAGAGTCGGATCGTCTCTAGGCGTCCACATCCCGTCATTCGTCCCGTCGCGGCGTTTCCCATCACCGTTTCCCACTGTATGGGATGGGCGTTTCCCACGCTTATTTGGAGGGGCTACCAACAGCCAGGGTCGGAGGCCGGTGTTGTGGTGGATTTTCGGTGCAGGCCCCACAGACGGGCTCAGCCAAGATGCAAGTCCATGTTTCATTTGTTTTTTTTGGTTGTCTCACATCCAGGCCATCAGGTGCCTCACAAAAACCCCTTTGCAGATTTGTCCTAAAATTGTCAGGAACCTTGTGCCCAAAATGTTGTTTGAGACGCGTGAAGACATATTTGAGCTTCGAACCCGACAGGTCGTCGAAGACATCCATTCACGAAAACACCGACGTGTTTCTTTTCTTTTTTTCCGCGATCTGGGATTTCGCGTCCGTCCTAGGTCATAACGCCCTTGCCGGAGGTCAAGCCGATCTACCAAGGGGGCCTCTCGTCTTGCCAACGGGTTTTGACAACTCAGCCCCCCAGCGCCTGGGTTGGAGCGAAAAAGGGGACAGCACCGACGGTTCCGAACTGCCCTGAACCGGTCCCTGTTTAGGCTGTTCGCTCTTGGGAATCGCAAGAGCGACAGGCCGAAAGACAGAACCTGAACCCAGTGAGATCAAACATCGTTAAACTCTTTGATGGTTCAAGGCTACACCGTGAAATGAGAACATGCCGTTCGTGGCCACCGTGGCATGTTCGTGTGGGAAGCCAGCCAAACGAACCAAGGCCAAGGCGAAGTGAAGAGGCGCGGAATGTCCCATAGCACCGTTCAACCAAAATGCAGCTGCCTACTCCAATGGTGGGCCAAGTGATATATCCGAGTGGTTTTGTGAGACTGCACATGAACATCATAGCCAACTTGCAATTTCGTGCCAAAGCGTCAGTATGGCCAGCCAAGGGTTTTAGGGATCCGTACATGGAGTTGGTGTTGCAGATCCTGATGTACAAGAGGGCAAACACGCTCAGAACGGACCCCAGGAACCACACCCCATGCTCCTCACCGCAGCTCCTCCGGTAAAGCTCCGCTTTCTCCATTGCCGGAGGCGCAGAATTTTACAGTGGCGGGGCGATGTGCTGTGGAACACCGTGGCTGGAAGCGTGCTCCTTACCTGGAAGCGTGAGGGCCAAACATGAAAAAGTCCAGCAATGCGTAGAACAACGGGGCAGCAATCGGCTTTTTGACCTTCAAGCCTTGAGATTACTTCCAATCCCATTAGTTCATTTTCTCTTCATTTTGTGTGAACTGAGATCGTCGAACCTGTCAGATTCGTGTCTAAAGTGCCTTCGAAGCAACACTTTGATACCTGCTTGTGGCTTGTAGCAGCATCCCTCCGAATTGCGAGTTGTTGGGCTTGTCAAAGGTGATATTTTTTTCACACTCTATCATTGCCTTTATAAGTGCAATATGACATGGCTGGTGAAATGAAAGAAGACAATGCACCCAACAATTAAATTCCATGGTGCTATTACGCATGGGCCTACCACTTGGTGCAGACACACATACATTCAGAGAGAAAACAACAATAATTGATTGCAATCATGTGGATGGCGGAGAGTTCCCGCTATGGGGCCTGTACTTTGCTTTTGATGTTTGCATACTATTAATGTTTGCAAATTTTATATAGTGTAATGGACGTTCTCTTGCGTGATTCAAGGTTTAGCTTTTCCGAGTTTCTTTTTCGCGTTTCTTTTTCCACATACAGTAGTTCTTCCGCTTTTATCAGGCTGTTCCCGTTTTTCAAGGGGCTTTTCTTGTGGTCAACTTGCACTTGAATTTGTGCCAACCTCTTTCTACGCCTATAGATATGGCCAGTCTGAAAAATTCTGAAGCAAACAAAGGCATTCCTCAAGGATATTAGGAGCTAGACCAGACACAGGAATATTGCTTGGCATCTACCCTTGCGATATGCTTACACTATAACTTTTGATACCCAAAAGATGTCTTTAAATGGTAGCTCCCATACTTTAAACACTACTGACAAGTCAATTCGCACTATCATGGTTCCTTTTTTTCCTCTCTAGCTTTTCCTGACGAGCTGTTCTATTGCTCCAAGCGTTTGTCATATCTCATGCTGGATCAATTTTTGTGTTCAGTCATGTTATTTTCCAACATTTAAGCGTTCAGGGACTGTCCCTAAATGATCTTTAACTTCGAGATAGGTTCATACCAAGGCGCATTTTAGCGTATTTATATAATGCTTTGTAGATTCAGGACGAAGAAGGGCCACAAGACAATTTTGGATGAGCTCCGCTCCTTTTCTACAGGAAGCCTTTCGATTTTCAGAGTATACCGCATAGATTTCTTAAACAAGCACCTTCTAAAGTTGTGACCCGCAACTCTCACACAGGAGATATCTTTCATGCAGAATAAGACTCCTGTTAATGGAGAATGCCTTTGATATGGCAAGAATGCAGAAGAAGACCTGGGAAGATGCTCCTGGAAAGAATGATGCTTGACACTTGCTTCTAACTACGCATTTGCACGAGAAGACTGGGGTAAATAAAAGAGGAGCGCTGTACACGCAAGGAGACTTCCGTGTGATAGAGGAGGCCTCTGAATAAGGTAGGACTTTTGATATTTGTATGGCACAAAGGCACAAATAGAGTCCCACCTAAGGACGGCAAGTGCACGACAGAAACGTGAAGACTCTGTCAACAGATGTCTTTGAATAAGAGAGCAAATCCGTTACACATAAGAAGATTCTGAACAAGCAAAGGATATCCTTACAAAGACTGACCCAGGCCCTTAAAGTTGGTTCATACCAAGCACAATTGCTGGACCTCGCATTGCACCCACAAACGAAACTGTGAGGTTCTGGGTGTGGGTGCAAATGCTGCTCCACCTGAACTCCGGCATTGACATTGCCGCTTAGTTGTTTGACTTAAGTTTGGGGAGTGGTGTAACACTGGGAGTGGGCCAGCACCTATTGAACATGTTTGCGAGAAAGTTCTTTCTGTGAGTTTCATCTATTTCTCACAAGCAAGAGGTTGGAGGCCATCGCTTCTATGTTGGAGGTAGGTTGGAGGCCATTGCTATTATATAGGTTGAACGAGATGCATCTATGTACATGTACTGAACCCAGCATGAAGCATCATGGAGCCTTGGAAGACAAACCCTTGGGTGACTCAGGGTCAATGTGAGAGTTTGGAGTCTCAAAAGCAATAGTCCAGCATTGTGCGAGGGATTCACTACAACAATTCCCGGGAGTATGTCCCCAGATAGTGTGAGCTATTGGCGTCCTTACTTCAAGTAATAGGAAGAGGTGCCTGTGCGCGCTTTGGAGCCTGGGTGCTGATGCTGTTGCAGGGTCCTGCTTCAGGGTGCCGCTGCTAGATGTCTATGGCAGTGTGCGCTTTAGAGCCTGGGTGGTACCGCTGCAGGGTGCTACCCCACAATTTTTTTTGCTATCTGGGGTCCATATTGGCGTAACTTTTTGAATGTACTCCCTCAAGAGTATATTTCCCGTCTTGCATTATGTGCGATGAATTGTTTTTCAGGTCCGCATCACGCATGGCGTGGGCACCCACATGAGCTGGAAGGACCTGATTAGTGAAATCATTCGTAAGGGTTTCGCTTTTTGCTGGCTTTGTGGAAACTTGTTTAATGAGTCTTGGCACCTTTATCGATCGTTTGCGTAAGGATACATTCATGACGCGAAAAAAGGACTTAAAAACACGATTCCTTCAAATGGACCTTGGGCAACGAATGGGTGGACTTCTGGGATTTTCCACGAATGGCAAGCCTTTGCTCGAGAGTGCAAAGGATGCATTGCGATGAGTGCCCCGAACAACAGTCCCATCATGAGTGCTCCCGAGACGAAAAGAGTCCCGAAAGAAAATCCTGCATGCAAACCCAGGATCCTCCAAATAGCCTGCACAACTGCATCGATGCCCAGTCCGAAAGATAGAAACACTTGTAAATTCCTCTAAGTTCCTCCAAGCCAACGGAAGCTCTTCGAAAGACATCTCAGGCCACTCCACCTACCAAGCTCCCCCAAAAAGGACTCCAATGCGCAGTTCCAATTCGCGGAACCGACGTGAGGTCGTTCTCCTTCGGAGTCCTTCGGAGTCCGAACGGAAGTCCTTCGGAGCTCCAGGAGGTGGGCCGCCACGATGCCGTGCTGTTTGTGCCCGAGGACCTCACGAAGATCGGCTTCTGGGTACCTTGGTGAGAGCAGTGACAGAGAGTGACGGACCGTCAAAGCGACGTCAGTGGTGGCCCACGTGGTGGCTTTCCAGTTTTATGTTTACTTTTTGACTTTCAGTCCAAAAAGGAGCTGATGAGGGCAGCAGCTCTACGAAGACCTTGGGGAATATTGAATGCAGCCAACATAAGTCGAATCCATGATGCTAACATACACTAAGATGACGGCACCTGCGCGCAATGCTTGAACCCTAGAATTGTCTTAGGTCCAATATAACCCAACATAAGTATTTGTTTTTTTGGAGGCATGCTTGTTAACCAGCTGGGGATATGCTGCAGCTGCAGAGCCCCCCCAAATCCAACCACCAACTGGGTTGGCCTTCGCAAAGCTTCTAGAGCAGCCTGACTGCACTTGCCTGGCTGGCCTTTTCTGAAGCTTTTCAGCGAGGAACCATTGACTACTGGAATACCCTCATTCTCAAGCCTTATTTCAGTGGCTGACCTGAAGCCCGATAGGCCCATTCAGCAGACCCTGACAGCCTGAAAGAATAGCTGGTCGAAATGCGTTCAAAGTTTTGTTTTCTCCCATGAATGCCAGGGGTAGAACCGGCTTGAGGACCTTTATGCATCTGCCATGCCCCTGTTCATCACCGATGAAAGCTTGACGGCCAGCCTCCTGTGCCCGGAGCCCATGTCTCGGGTGAAGATGCACTACTTCGATACGCACTGGCGGCTGCCCTTCTTTGAGACAGGCGTGGTGGTTCTTCACGGTACTGTCGATGGGGCGTATATCGGGGACCTGACTGGTGGAGACACTCCAAGGTTTGACACGGTATCAAGCAACCATAGATGGTTTGAACATCCACAGTTCCGGCAACAGGAAACTGGACATGATAATATCTCCAGCATATCTCACATGACCGATCCGCCGTCCGCCGTCCGAAGGCGAAAACACAGGTTCCCCCGACTCAACGGGTCAGGCCCCAGAGATCGGACGACAAAGTCCAGAGGGACATTTCTTCTTGTTCCGTTCGTAGTAACAAGTGCATCTCTAGTAGTAACAAGTGCCTTACTAGTAGTAACAAGAAGCGAACGTAGAAACAATAAGCTAATAGCTTCTTGTTCCGTTCGTAGCGATGCCAGGAGCCCCGAACGTAGCGTTCTTGTTCCGTTCGTAGCGATGCACTTTGTTACTAGTCGCGGTGATTCACCAGACCAAAGAAACCGGTGAAACCGGTTTCTCATTTGCACGATCCAAACGCACTCAGTGAATCCAGATGAGCACAAGAGCCAGAAGGTGACACCTGACACGGTGGGTTCTTGCATTCGAAGTCCCGGAATCTCCGCTCACAGTGAACTTCCGGTTGACTCACGCAAAACCAGACCCGACCGATTCCTCTAGGGCATGCTTGCACAGACAGGAATCTTTGTCAGACTCCAGTCTAGCAACGAGACTCCACTTTAGCTTCAATATCTTCAACTCTTCTTCGGTGCACATCTAACTCTCAACTTCACTTTTCCAACAGTTTCATTTCCAACCTCGAACTCTTCGAGACTCTTCTCGAGACTCTTCTCTTTCGACTCTTCTTTCGCAACTCTTCGGTAGTTTCTCCCGGCCTAGGCGCCTTCGAAGCCTTGGAGCCCTTCGACCTCGAGCGCAGCTGCGAGACGCCCGGCTGCGGCACGAGCGCGAGGGGTTGCGCAGCGCCGCGCCGGTGGCGAAGGTGTGGGGTTTTCTTGACCGTTCTACTGCGCGGCGCAGTCCGGCTGCGGCGCTGCTGAGGAGGAAGTTGGAGTTCTGGGGCTCTTATGCGGATTTTTATCACTTTCCGCATGTGATGATCTTTGACGCCTGGCGATGGTGGTCTTTGGGGTTGTTGGGGTTGCTGGGGGAGGGGTTTTGTGGGATAAATCGATGTCTCACTGGCACGGGCCCGGCAGGTTCAGAAGTTGTTTTTGCATGTTTTGCTAGCGGGGGAACTGGCTAGTAATTAGGAGGCGTGCATTTTTATCAAACCACGAACAGATGTTTGATGTTGTTACACTTGGGATCAAAGTCGGTACCTTTCATTATCACTGTGAATAATAGCATTGTTTATGTTGAACTAGGGCAACATGTTTCTTGAGTGTACTTTTTAACAGTTCTTGTTCGATCTTTTTTGCGTGTTTTGACACAATTCCCTTGCGTTTCGGACTGTTCTGATCATTTGGGTGTTCATGTTTCAAGGTTAGCATGTTTTTTGCGGGGAGGTGGTGGGGGGGCGGTATTGACGTTAGCTCGAAGTGGAACATCACTATGTGCAGAGTTGAACAACAACTGGATGTGCATGGCACATACTTCAAGTGAGCAGCGACCAAAACGTCCAAGCAGACTAAGCAAACTTTTAAACTCCCTCACCGCGGAAGCCACTCGGAAGTGAATGTCATTCCTAGATGATTTGGAGCACGTTGACTTCCGTGGTAATGTCAACCCTCAGCTGTTTGTAAAGACACAGCTGGAGGTGGGAACACATAGGAAAAAGATCTGATGCAGTGCACTGGAGAAGCAATTGCAAAGCTGTATGGCCTACGACAGCTTCACTGTGTCACTCTGATAGGAAAAGAAATGCTGCGATCTTTGACGGCAGCGACATGTGAGTCACTTTTCAACACATGTTAGTCATGTAGCCGAATCAGCAACTGCCTCGAAAAGGCCCGGAAAAGAAGTGGCTGTTCCAGTGATGGTTTTCGATGAACATGTGTACTTCGACAGTGAAACGCGAGTTTGAAAGGAACACCGATGGAGAGACGTCGACGTAAATGCCTCACTTTTTGGAAGTCAAGTGGTCCGCAACACATGTTTTTTTGCAGTGTTTACAAGCTTATCCAAGGTTGACAACCCCCAAAAGACGCACAAATGCACGCGTTGTGCATTGCACACCCCTGTGGTTGTTTTGTGGAGAGTGCCATGAAGCCAAATCGGAATCTCTTTTTCAAGCTATCCAATGTTAGGAGGAGTTATAAAAAACCATAGACAATTAGAATTATGAAACAACATGTGATTTTGTCTAAAACCTAGATGCAGAGTGCCCTTACCTGTTTCAACTTAGGCTTCCTGGAAGGGTACACGGGTATTGCGTTGACTCTCCGAATTGTTTGAGACTGAGCAGCTACAAACATCATGTTCAACCACCTTCATCAACCCCCAAAGGAATTTTCCAAGCCAAGTAGACCTTCCAAGCCCTTCTATTTAGTCGCCCTGCCTCCAACCCGTTGGACCTATCCCTTTGGAAGGACCTTCCCCTCACTGCCACCCGAGGGTGGGAACTGCCACACTCATTGAAGTGGTGGAAGGTCGGCACGCGTGCCCACTGGTCAACATTTGCAGTTCTCCCACCATCCAAAAAAGCAGTTCTCCCACCCAGCAGCTTAGGGTTCCGTCCATGGCGGGATCCGTCCAAGGCGTCGGGCATCGATCTGGTGCTGCAAGTGCTCTCCGCCGATCTGCTCGCCGTCTCCCAGGCCATGGCGCACTGGGCGCTCCTGGCACGTCAGCGGAGCATGCGGCACTTTCACCATGCGTTGGCTCAGGTGGGAAATGAGTTGTAGGGAACATACGGATCGGAGAGGTATGGTCAGTGAGCTCAGCAGTGATGGGTGCCTAAGTTTCACACCTTGACTGCATAGGGGTTGGAACTCGCTTTCTAGCTGTGTTAGTTGTTTCCAATCCAAGCAGGCCTGCACAGAGCAAGGACAAATTAGCCCGATTGTGGGCAACGGAAATCCATGAAAGCAGATAGGAACGTGCTCTTCCGTGAACTTTGCAAATGTGGATTCTCTTGAGCTTCAAGGGACAGTTCACAACTCATGGTCTTGTGTCCAACCAGTCTTCTCAGGTCTACCCAATCTTCAACCAGAGCACATCAGCTTGATGTCGCATGCCGCATACTGGCGCGAAGTACCCTGCTGGGTCATTGCACCCTGCGCGGAGTTGTTTGTGCAGCGAAGCGACGAACGGAATGGACATCTGTGTGGGACAACGGCTGACGACACGACCGGAGATGTCTCGGATCACGACCGGGCTGGGCAGATGGCAAAAGGAGGACTTGCTGTGGAGGATCCTCCCTTCAAAATGGTAGGGGGTGGTTGGCACTAAGCACGGCACCAAATCGTTTGTCATCATCATAAATTACATACAATTAACGAAACCAACGTGAGACAAGCTGCATTTGCAAGTACTGCTTGGATCCAGGCAACCTTGATCGGGCATGATTGATTTCCGGATACACAGCTGTGAGTCCGCAATTATCGGGTTGACGGCAGCCCTCGGACAGCAGTGAGACGATTCAAGAGGGCCACCATCCGAAGGTGTTCAAAGAGGGCTATATAGCGTTTTTGCGAGGCAACATCTCAAGGAACCAAGGACACCCAGTGGGAAACAGAGTTAGCAACAAGTGGGTTATAAAAGGTAAACCTGTTTCTTTCGATTCTTCCCTTTCTCGATTCTCCAGATTCACGGCGCTTCATCAGGTCCCACAATGAACGCAGCCGGTCCCCTGGTTCAGCACCGAAGCATCCACCGTCGACCGCGGTGTCGGTCGGAACGGGCGTCGGAAAACCGAAGGACTCGCCGACTTGCCACTTGATGGCTCATGGAGCCATAGAATCTGATAGATGTCCACTTGAGCGGTGTCCGACATCCTAAAGAGACCCAAACCCAAAACAGCAAGTTGGGAATGAGTTGGCTTGCGAACACACGATCAACCTTGGCCTTTAGATGCCTTTAGGATTAATCAAGGGCCCCATGGACATTTTTCGCTTTTCAAGCATCAAAGACAGCAACAGTTTCTAGTGGGCAGGAGTGGGTCTCCTGCCCAAAACGCTCGCATCTTGGGGCGTTTTCTTCAGTGCGCCTTTGATCCCTCTCCAAAACCTCGCCTCCATCGCCTCGTGCGCGTGACCGGTGGCCGGCGCCCCATGGAGACGTCCGGCGACGGGCCCGGATGTGCTGGAGCCTGGAGGTCACCCTTGCCTTCGCGGCCGCCGAGACCCTGGCACTGCTGGCGTTGGTGGGGCGCGCGCGGCGCTATGAGCCTCGGGGTGGAAGTTTGGTGCCACATCATTCAGAATTCAGTTTTGGTCGGATTTTTGGGAAGAATCTACAGTAGGTCTGATTGGCACGACTTGATCTCCTTTCACAGGAGTAGGTCCCCACAAACTCTCATCTGCCTCCTGGTCCTCATCCTCATCCTCATCCTCATCCTGATGGCGGTGGTGGTGGTGGTGGTGGTGACCCTGAGACCTGAGACCTGATCCCACTGCAGGATAGGGCCAATGCTTTCCTGATTTTGCCCCTGGTGTTGCAGGAGTGGCTGCAGGCGGATGTTTTTGTTTTGTTGGCTTTTCCACTTTTGACTCACAACTCAAGTGCTGACATGTTCTGGATATGTGTGCCGAGGAGGCTTGTGAACCTTTCTTTGCTTGATTTGACTTTTCTTCTTTACGAGACCAGCACTTCTCTCCTTGGAGAATCTACATGTTTCCTCAAAGAAGTGTACATGTTTCGCCTGTTTCCATCCTCGGTCCACTTCGCCAGGTGATTTTGTGGATGCATATCGGCGAGACGGCGACGGAGTGTGATGGCACCAACCAGGCCTTTCGGCGACCGTTTTGATCAACTTCCCGAAACGGCGACGTTGAATCGCTGGCGGCCAAACCAGGCTGCCTCCGCGTGGGTGGCCTATGTGGTCTGCGCGGTGCCCGCATGGATCAGCCTGCAGCCTTTGCTAGGTGCTCCGCATGAGCTTTCGGATGAGTGCCTTGGTAGTCCAAAGCGAAGAAGTTGAACAGAAGCCTCTTAAGGATGAGACAACTAGGTTTTGGGAAAGAGGACTTGGTGAAAAGGAAACTTCACATCCCGGTGCCGCACATCCATCGGTGAAACGAAAGGGCCGTGACTCCGTGACTTAAAAAGAAAGAGTTCGTACTTGGAGGCTTTTTGTCTGGTGGCATTTGCTTTGTGGGAACACTTGCAATTGACCGGTCACCTTCGAGGATTTCAACATGTTTCGATGTATTTCATCAAAGACGTATCCAGGAAGAATGAGTGATATTTCATCGGTGAGAACAGTGAGGCACCGGCAGATGTGCCGCAGCTTTGTTGCCATGGCCATTCTTTGTGGGCTGTGCGGTGCGCTGGTGCAGTTGCTGGGAAGCAGCTTCAGGTGGATGAGCTCGGTCTGCACCTATGTGGGGCCCTGGCATCATCAGATGCTTGCTCTGTCTGACAAACAAAAAAGCTCACAGAGCAGTCTTAGATGAAAGCCGTGGTGAGACATAAAAATTCGAAGAAGCAGCATTCTTCTTGGATTTTGTCCAGATTTTTTGCACCAATTTGCCCACAAATTTTGCATCGAACACTCTCTTCTCCTGCAACATCCCCTCCCTTGGGAGTTGCAACATGCGGAGAAGCAGGGCCAGCAGGGTCTCGGTTCTGACTTCTTCAAACAAGCCTGCTGTTGCTTTGGGCATCGTATGCGGTGCAGAATTTCTTACATCAACAGTGATTGCTTTGTAACTTGTAACTGCAAAACTGGCCATGAGTAGGAGAACCAACATGGTCTCTCTCTGTCTCTGTCTCTGTCTCTGTCTCTGTCTCTCTTTGTCTCTCTTGCTCGCACCAGTCTGAATCAGTAGAATATTATTCATGAGATGGGCTCAAGGTGTGAGGTTTCTGACCACCCAGGATTTGGCCAGTCATGAACATCCAATACAACATCTTCCCCGGCTTTCTGGGCTCTTTGATCGGGAAGGTCTTGTCTGCTGGGAACCTGCTGCTCTATATGATCTGCAGCATAGGCCGATTTTTTCTTGAAGAGAGGGAACTCCAGATGTTCTACATAAGATGTTCTACAAAACACTCATTGCTTCACGCATCGTGCCAGGGGGCTTCTTGGCGCATCGGCCCTCCTACGTGCTGCCGGCGATGGTGGGCCTCAGCGCGGAGCTGTTGATCTTGGTTCTGGGGCCTGAGTGGCTCGAAGGACTTGGTAGAGGGGAGGACTTGGTGGAGGATGCGAAAGTTGGACATGAAAAAAAGTGTTCTTTTTTGCTTCGCAACCCGGCAGGTTTTGGACAGTGCAGTGGATGATAATGGGGTGGTTAGGGTCTGGGATCTCTTAAGGTCTTGAGCGAAGTGCAGATGGTGAAAACCCCACATGTGGGCAGGATTGGGAGCCTGGGCCTACATGCAGATAGCAAGAGCACCGATGCCTGTGGTCATGATGGCAATGATGAAACTCAACGGTAGGTTCTTAGTCATGGAAGTTCAGTTTCATCTAGAGTCTCTAGAGTCTAGAGTTGACACTTGAATGCTGCTGTTAAGGCGTCATGGCACCTCACCCTGCTCGAATAATGAAACACATGATTCTGGGCCATGAATCCGGCACACTGGCGCCACGCCAAAAAAGGCTTCGAAGCGGCCTCGAAGCGGCTACTCGCCCGCTTCTCTTTTGCGCCAGGTGGGGCTCTTTCTGGTGCTTCCAAGCCTCTGGCCTCTCCTTTGTTGCCCTATTGGAGCCCTGGCTCTTTGAGTCCTTGGGTGAGCCGAACCTCATGCAGGCTTGCTGGGAGCGTGCAGGGCTTTGGGGCGGGTTGAGGAAGGGGTTGTTGCAATGTTTTGTTTTTTGGACAGGTGGGTACTGCAGGCTGGATACGTGGGTTTGACAGTGTGATCAAGGCAGGTGTCTTGTGGTGCTGGTTTGATGAATCAGGAGACGCCGGTCGGACTATAACAAGTTTTCAACCCTAGCCAAGATTTACTTGGCTGATTTGCAGTATGAGATACATCTCAGGCTCTGATGGGAGGCCAAGGATGTGGCGACCCCAACATGTCGTGCGACTTCCAAAGTAACAAATGGTTTCAAAGCACCAGAAGTGCCTCACAAGTGCCTCGCCCTAGTCAAGCACCGGTTTTTCACTGCTTATTTTTTGGTGAAGGCAGAGGCTTGATTGAAGTCTAAGGCTAGTGGCTTTACCAGGTTGGGACCTGGTGCTTGGTGGCCATTCTTCCGACCGAAGCATGCGCCCGGTGAACGAGGCCCGACGTCTCTTCCAACCGAACGGCTCCGCTCCGACGGCCTTCGCTGCGCTCCGAGGCCTCGTTCGCGGCTCCGAGGGAGGCGAGAGACGGCGAGATGGCGGCGACGGCGCTGGGGAAGGAGGAAGAGGAAGACTCTCTGGTGTAGGCGGGGAGACAGTTGAATGGTTGATGGTTCTTGGTGTTTTCGTTATTTTCAGACTCTGGACTTTGGACTTTGGAATTTTGGTGAAGAACTTCCAAGTCACGGACACACCAGATCTGCATCAAACGACTTTTTTTGAAGCCGGAGGCCACGCGCGTCGAAATTTTCACTCCAGATCTACAGGGCTTCCGAAAGGACTTTCTGTGTTTGGGATGTCTTTGAGGCATTGGGTGCTTTGCCAAACGTGTGAAGGTATGGGAAGGTAGCTGCAGGTTGGTGAAGGCATTGCATCAAGTGTGCTCCCTTTGGCTTCATGCTCTTCAGGGATGGAAGCTCCCGGTCGTTGCGGTGTGAGTCAACCGCTGGCTCCGTGCCGCCGACATCACCACATTACACCTTACGTCCGACCGCCGACGTCGGAATCAATTCACCACTCTACAGCCTCGCAAGTCGCACCAGATTGCACAGGAAAAAAAGCACAAGAGTAAAAGAACAACAGATCACCTCAAAGCAATGATAATCAGAGATCACGAAATCACGCGCATGTCGCCCCACAGACTCTTTCACCTTGCACAAACGGATCCACGATCCGCCACCAAATCTCCAACCACGCAGCATGCATCAGCTAGCAGGAGTTGCTCGGAGACAAACAAAGCAAGTTTTTGGCTACCGAATCGGATACGGTGGGGGATCCCTCCAAGCTGTGGCTCCCTGTCGGAGAACTAATTGGTCCAGTTCACTCCGGTCGCCGTAAAACACAACGTCCTCGCGACGACGTTCCGTGCGTCTGTGTTCGTCGATCAAAGGAGCAAAGTAGACCTGCACAGTGCAGGAGATAGGAGATAGGGGCCCAAGTCGAAGCGGATACATTTAACCTCGGCTTTCTTGTGTCCTTCCCCAAAGAACGACATGCGTTCTTTGTTCTTCTTTCACTCCTTTCTCCCCTGGCCATGCTAGTTTTCGCTACCAAACCCCCGTCCTCAAATATTCTTTGGAACTCGACCACATTCCTTGAGGTTGTTGCGTGACATCGCCACTGGAGCCCACGGACAGATTCAGTGCTCAGAACAGTGGCTCCTTCAACTCCACTGGATTCGTCACAAATTCGTCACGCCACACTCGTGGAGCAAGGCGGCAACAGAGGGTGTGAACGCACATGCAAACGGCCCATGTTTAGCTGCTTTGACGTATGGGGTCAGGGTTGAAAAGGAATGATCAGGGTGGGTGATGCCTTCACCGGCGTAAAGTCTTTGAGTCTTCGAGCCTGAGCCCGACGGACCTTTTTTCTTTCAAACAGGAGGTCCTTTCCAATGTCCAAGACATATCAAGACATTCCGTGAGGCCTATCCAACCTTTGAGCAGAATGTCCTGACCTGCCACTGCTATGGCTATGGTCTGAAAAAACGAAAGCAACACCATGCGGTTTGGGCGCTTGTTGAATGCTTGGTTCTGATCCTCCAAGATTGGAAATCGGCTGAAGAATGAAACGGATCCAATAGTAGTAGCTTCTTGTTACTAGTAGTAAGGCACTTGTTACTAGAAGCGATGCACTTGTTCCTAGTAGCTTATTGTTACTACTAATTATCTATTGTACTCTTAAACATGCTCCCTTTTCATTCGTTTTTCATTCTGTACGACTCTATCACGAAGAGTCAGGGCAGTTTCCCTCCAAGAGCCACGCCACGCGCGGCGATCAAGCCCTTGATGTTCAATGTTGGGTCGTTCGACATGGTGATGAAGTGCAGTGTCCATGAGAAGGCATGGCATGTTGACTTTCACATTGCCATCGCATCACTCTTATCACCGCCGGAGCCGGTGTGACGTCCCTTTTCATGGACGTTGGTGAACCAAGTTGAACACACACTGACCCCCACCGACAGCAGCGCCGCCAGCGCGCCATGTTTCATCCGAGGAACCCGCCGTGGTAAGAAGCTCTGGCTCGAGTTGGGTGCCAACATCAATGGGTTTCTCAACATCATCTCACCTCCGCAAGAGAATCCTCTCCACCTTTGTATGAGTTCTGGGACGGACTACAAGGGCGGGGTTCCAGAAATATTTATTTCAAGTCAGCTAAATGCCGTCAACCAGCATGCGCCAATCATTGGTGGGGAGTGGGTAGGTGTTCTCTTTGCCGCAGAGTATTTAAATGTTTTCATGCAGAAAAATCCAGATGATGAAGCACCAGTTTGTGAGACTGATGTTCCTGTAGTTTGCCATGCAAAGCGGATTCGGAACATAAGCCCAGGCCAAACCAACAACTAGAACCCTAGCCCTAACCGATACCGTCTTTGCTGGATCCTGAATTTGCAATGATTCGCTACACGAAGGGAGCATGGGAGACTTGGTTGCATCGGTTGGAAAGCTTCGGGCATCGTCCACAGATTCAATGTCAACATCCTCCCGAAAACTAACATATATCCTGAATAGACCCGTGCAAAGTTATTTTCCTCTACAACTCCTATACACTCTAGGGTGAGGGCAGCCCCAAGCAGGCATGGCCAAATCATCTAGGTGGCTTCCATGGGGATCATCCGACATAGTGACCTGTGAATTGATATGGAATCTCTCAACATTCAATATCATTCTGGCGCAACATGGTGATCGAACCAGGTGAGCGCTGGTAACACGCCCATGGCCATCATTGGCAATTCAGCATCGTTGTTATTGCGATATTCATGAATATCCCGTTGTAAGAAGAACGGACAGCACAACTCAGTCTGTCAAAACATTGTCCAAGAAATACATCCCCACCTGCCACGTGAGGATTGTTGGATTTTATGAGAGCTCTTCTCCTTCCCCTCCCGTCCTTCTTCTTCTTCTCCTCCTCCTCCTCCTCCTCTCCTCGTCTTCTTGACTACCGCACCTCAACTGCCAGCTCCAGATCGCAATGGGCTTGCGGCTATACCTCAACTGCACGTGCATGATCGCAGTGGGCACTCCCGGACCTCAACTGCACGTGCATGATCGCAGGGGGCACTACCGGACCTCAACATCGCAGTGGACACTACCGGAACTCAACAGCAAGCGCCAGATCGCAGCGGGCACTACCGGACCCCAACAGCAAGAGCCAGATCGCAGTGGGCACTACTGGACCTCAACAGGAAGCGCCAGATCGCAGCGGGCACTACCGGACCTCAACAGCAAGAGCCAGATCGCAGCGGGCACTACCGGACCTCAACTCGCAGTGGGCACTGCCGGACCTCAACGCACAACACACAACCACACAACATAACCACAAACACACAGTGCACAATACACAACCAACAAAGCACAACCACAATACACAAGCACAAGCAGACAAGCTACGAACACAATCACAAACACAGTCACAAACACAACCACAAACACACAACCACTACCACAACCGCAGCCACAATCACAAACACACAGCCACAGCACACAACCACAACACACAACCACAAGCCCAGAAACCACAAGCGGAGCCACAAACACACAACCACAACACCAATCACAACCACAAACACATAACGACAACAATGTAATTACCTGGGTGGCAGGTGGTCACGGGTAGCACGTTTGGATGCCAACTGGAGACCCAGGCGACACCCCGACGCGCACTCCCTAACACTAAAATAGCAATCCCAAACCCCCACAAGCAAAATCGAAACTCACGACCATGGCAACATGCTCACTCGAAGTAACGTAAATTTTGGGGGATCCCCTATTTTGAGAAACCGTCAGATAGAGAATTGTATTTGTTTTTGGTCAGATTCGATGGTGGAATGGCATCACCTACTCAAGAAGAAACCCCGAAGATCTGCCATGGGCCGTTGGTTTCTTGGTCTTTGGGGCACATCAGCGCTGCTCCTGTAAACTCTTGTGAGGACCAGCGAGATGGACAATCAGTTATCATACTGCGAACCGGGTTTGGCTTCTTCAAAACTCAACAAACTCAACACTCGATGTTAAACTAGAATTACGATACTTCGAGTGGTCCCCACCCCTGGAAGCTGGAAGAAGGCTGGGCACATGTATTGACAGACTAGCCTGACAAAGGCGGACATGTGGATTGACTCACAATGTTCTAAAACTTGTTCTGGCATCATAAAGATTGGGAAATGTTCTCGATTGTCTTCTGACGTCCCGGTTGCTGTTGGCGTGTGTGCTGACATTTTTCCTGCGCTTGCTGTGGAGGTCGCTGTTGAGGCCCGGGAGTGCCCACTGTGATCTGAAGCTTGCTATTGAGGCCCCGTAGTGCCCACTGCGATCTGGCGCTTGCTGTTGAGGCCCGGTACTGCCCACTGCGATGTGGTGCTTGCTGCTGTGAGGCGAGGAGGAGGAGAAGAAGGAGGAGAAGGATGAGTCGCAGCATCCTTTTCTAAAACCTGACAACCCTCACCTGACAGGTGGGGAATTTGATCATCTTCACCATGCCGTCAAGCCATGTCGGAGCACCAACCCACTCTGCCCAGGAAACACTCTTCTACTGGTGGGGCGGCATCAACCGTCACTTGATGGTGAGCTCTGTTGCTTGGACCTTTTTCTGCCAAAGACTGAGGGAGAAAGCGGTGGAGATGGGTGTGCCTTTGCCAACTGCGGGAAACCCCCTCATTTGGAACACCTGGTGCAGAGAAAAAAGAGGAACATTGGAGGTTCGGCAGGGGTTGTATTCATTGTGTTCTAATGCGCGCCCAGGCCGAGACAAACACATCAGAACACACAAATTGGCAGGGCGATGACTTGGGATCAAATGACCTGCCAAAGCATGTCACTACTAGTCCCACAAAGCTCTAACCCACACAACATCCATCACCACATGCTATGATTTTAGGAAACATGATTTTCACAGAGCAAGTGTGCGAGGAGTCTCTGGAGGGTTGGATTATGTCTTCAAGCTCATGCTCCAGTCCTTCCATAAAGACCACCATTGATGACCTCCCAGATCAGTACTATACCAAACCTGCTGGGGTTGCAAAACTCAGTGGATGCTATCAGCCGATTGTTTTGCGCCAGAGGGATGGAAAGGCTACGGCAGCTGCGGAGGTGTTTTCTTCCGAACAATTGTATTGCAATGTAATTCGGAAGAGTATGGAACACTTCAAACCATTCGATTGCACCTGATAGCACCAGTATCTTGTGAGAAGGAAGTGCCAAAGGTCACCATGGGCCCATAGCGGCCAAAGAACACACGAAATGCCTTCCGCTTCTTGATCCATCGTGACCCGGTTGGAGTTTCGTGATCCGTCGTGACCCGTTTAAACATTTGCGGACGTGTCCAAAACGAAAGCGTGCTGCTTTCGACGTGGTGTTTTTGGTCGTGAGGCTTTCTACCTTCTCTTCTTGGTGCTTCTCTACTACGTGCCCGGGTTCTCAGGTCTCTGCGTTCGCAACATGATCAAACCAGGAACCCTGTGGAAACTGTTCAAGCTTGTTGCTTTCGATCTTGGAAAAAACGGGTTGCTTTCGGTTCGTGGAAGTTCTAATCACTGGTTGAAGGTTGCATGCCCTGGTTGGTGGTTCGATTGAACAGGTACAGATAAGAGAGTTCATGGTTAGATATAACTATTGTTCTTTTGGCCTAGGCCTAGACCTCAACAGCGAACCTAGGATCCTTCTTGTTGGTGCACCTACCCTGCGTTGATGCATTGCGAGTCACCAATTTGATCCATTCCCGCCGTCTCACAAACAAACAAAGAAGCAAAGAAGCCGCGTCAAATTTTGGACCCTGACCAAAGACCAATCCGGGCTATCGAACTTTTAACTTTTTTCGTTGGAGGCCATCGCCTTTTTGTGGCCAGCTACCATCCCCTGATGTTGTCGGTTGTTGGAACCTTCAGTTAAAAGCACGTTTGTGAAAGGGGATGTGCATTCATGAGCATACCTGGATAGGCGCTGGTACCGGATACTCCATGAGACTGTCAAGACCGCGCACTTTTGCCGTGGCTCAAGAAAAGAGCATCGCTTTGTTTTGCTGCCAGCTGTGGATCCATTCCACACTGGTAGCGGAGCGCTACATCGCTCCAGGGACCACAGGTCCCGGTCTACGGTCCCACGGGACCACGGCGCGCGCGTTGTGCACCGCATGGCGCTGCTGGTTCGCTACGTGAACTTCATCAAGGAGGAAGAGGCCAGGAACAGCGCGGAGGGCAAGTTCGGCGGTGGCATCCCCATGTTCAATGGTGAACCCACTCGCCTCGGCGAGTACACGTGGAGAGTCAGGGCAACGCCTGGCTCGTGAGGCTGCGATGGAGGAGTCGGAAGTTCGCAAATCGGGCCTGTTTGGGGCTACGCCTCATAGAGGGGCTCACCGGACTGGCCCTGAGGGTTGCCC